CAAATATGCGCGGAGGCAGAAACGACTTGGCGAGTGATATTTTCAGGCGAAGTCTGCTCTGCTTCGAGGCGACAGTGATTTGCTTGTTCGCTCGCGCGTCGAAAAATGATCGGGCGAGAAATGCGCGCCGCGCCCACGCAGGAGCTCAACTTTCAGGAAAATAGGAACGGCGCAAAGGCGAGAGCGACAGTTCGCCCTTTCGCGCGCGATGTGTGCATCGTCCAACTCCTGCCACGAATCTTGCAACGTTGACAAAACACCATGTTGAAAGGACATACGTCGACTGAGTGTTGGTTGCTCATGGGCTGGATGGAGCGTCCCTCATGGCGCGACTATCTGCCAGCTTGGTGGCGTCGTAGGAGTTATTCCCATCACGGAGTCACCGTAGGATGGAGAGGAGCAGGGAAAGGAGGAGGAAGGAGGTGGGGTGGGAAAGGAGGCGGAAGGAGGGAAAGGAGGAGGAAGGAGGAGGAGGAAGACGATAATCTCCTTTCTTCTTCGTTCCTTTGCCCTCCTCGGCCCCAAGGGCCAATCTGGCCCGGCCAAACTGGATGATTTGGGTTATTCGCCAGACTGGATTCGCGTTGGCTCCCTCGCCAGATTGCCCCCGTTTGCCAGATTGGGCCTGCCAGATTGGCGCCAGATTGGCTTCGACTACCCAGTTATGGACGATGATCTCGGGGTGCGGGGGCTCAGTTTTCGCGTGCCGCGTCCTACTGCGATTGCAGGGGACGGTTCGCCCTCCTGAAGGCTGCGCTCGGCTGGGCCAGCTTTATACAGGCTCCCGGCGTCCTGTGGGACTCGCAGTGAGAATTGTCAGAGTCCTTGGCGCCTCCTGGGTGCAGGAGGCTGGATACACATGACGCGGCCGGGCCTGGGCGAGTACATGGATACAGCGCGCATGACGCCATTAGAACGGTGGCCGCGAGTGATTCGGCGATATGGGCCATGCCTTTGCCCTTCCCCGTTTCGCGCGATGCACCACGACCCCCGAGGCGCACAGCACTTAAATTGCAACTCCTGGGATTTTGCATTCACCATCGGCGCTGGTATATCCGTGGTCGAATACCGAGGCAATCCTATGCAATATGCCTCAATCCCGTTTAATTCGGTTGAAAGCCCTGCTTAATCTGGCCGCATGCGGCTGAATGCCCCCCTCAATCCGTTCTTGCGAAGACCTCCCAGGAGTTGCCTCCCAAGATTTGCCCCTGTTTTTTTCGCAAGGGCACCTGGCATCTTCGAAAGGGACGGCGCCCTTTGTTTGACTTCGGCGCGCTCCAGGGTCTTGCATCCTCAATCTCCGTCCTTATGATTGCTTATGACTGAATCTTCCCCCCTCCCTGCCCTGCTGACCTCCCCCCGCCCTCCCCTCCGCCCCCCCTCCTGCTTCTCCCGCGGCGGCGCCAGGCGGAGCGCGGGTCCGACTCCAGCGAGGGGCCCGACGACCCGGACGGCCTGAAGCGGCAGGAGCATTCCCCGGTGGGAGGATGGGCAGCGAGCATCGAGGAGGGGAGGGGGGGAAGAATCGAGGGATCGAGGATCAGAGTGTTTTTTCGCTGGATAGAGGAGGGAAGGGGGGGGAAGATCGAGGGATCGAGGATCAGGCAATTCGCTTGCGCACCGAGGGGGCCCCCTTTTCCACCCCTTCTCAGAAGGCGGCGGGGCTTCTCGGAGCCCCTCCCAGCCTTCTGGGAAGCCGTCGGTGGCTTCGGGAAGGTTCGCGAAGCTTCCCAGCAGGCTGGAGGCTTTCTTCAGCCTTTTGCGAAGCCCCGCCCTCCACATCCCCCCCCTAGGGGTAAGTCGGGACTGTCCCTATTGTCTGGGTCGGATTTGTTTGTTGTTTGCTCAATGTTTGATGTTGTTTGGCGTATGTTTTGGGGTATTTTTAATTAGCCGTCCAACATCCGCCTGTATAGGGGGACACGCCCGACCTAACCCTAGGGTTCGCCACCGATCGACGGGTCGAGCATCGAGGTTTTCATGCGTTGTCCGCGCGATGTTCGGTCACCAGAAGGCTTTCGGGGGTGGACGGACCTACCCTGACACGTCGATTAAAGAATTGGCCGTTTTCGGTTCGCGAGAGGGCGTCGCGGCCGTCATGTTTGCGGGTCCAGGTCCGTCGGTTTCGGTCCCAGGCCGTTTTCACCCAGGGGGGTCTACTGAAGGGAGATTTGTCCACCGCCGAGGCTTGTCTTCGCCGCGGCTGGGTTCAAATCGACATTCTGCTCAGGACGCACACCTGAAGAGGTCTAATCTGTCAGCTCTTTAGGAGGCTCGAGGCGGGACGGAGGGAGAGATTGCGGAGGAGGTGGATCCTCGTCCTTGTTGTCCTTTCCTTCTTCCTCGGCAGGGACTCCCGAGGATCTCCACAGATGCCTCTGAAAATTTCCGGAGACAAGCGACGAGTAGGCAAGGGCGGGGGACGGGGGACGGAGGAGGAGCCGCAGACCTCCGACGACTTGTTTCCTTCAGAGTCCAAGGTTGGTTTTTAATCCTCGGCCTGGGGGCGGCGGGGGCTCTGGGACCACGAAGAGACGAGCTGGGATGAAGGGCTGGCTTTGGGGAAGGGGGCGAGAGTCTCGTGGTCCCGCGGAGGGGGGAGGGGAGTTTCGAAGACTGCTGGCGCGCTGCAGGCAAGTTCCCTGAGAAGACTGGCCTGGGCCCCTTTCGTGTTCACCCCTGCGAGTTTGAGAGGTTACCGCTCGTGGTGCTCTAGGGTGTGGCGGAAGCTTTCAACAAGTGCGAATTGTTGAGGGCTTGGCCCACAAACTGATTGGTGTCTGAGATGGTGCGGTTGGGCAAACCAGACGGGGGCCATAGGTTGATAACCTTTTTGCATACTATGTCGCGGTGGTGTGGCAGAGTCAGGCGTGATATATCGATGCAGTGGGAGCAGCAGAACAATGACGACGTCATTGGGACAGTGGCAGTGGTATAACGTCGTCCGACAGCGCGCTCGAGCAGAACATAACGGCAGAGATGGCTAGGATGACGGATCAGCACGCGACCGTTGTCCTCATGGATATGGCCAAGGGCTACGAGAGGATCCGCCAGGCTGCCTTTGTTTCCGAGAAGCTCGTGCAGTGGGCTTCCTTTTGCGACTAATGTGGCGCCTCCTCACGCAGTTCTCGCAGCCGCGGTATATTCGTGCTGATGGGAGCCATTCCAGCAATGTGCCGGCGTTCCAGGGGATGCAAGCGGGATGTAGCCAAGCGACGACGTTGCTCAGTGTCCTGCTGTGCCGCAGCTTGAAGGATACGAGAAGTATTTACAGGTCGATCACACCGCGAGGGCTGATGGTTGATACGTCTTTGCGGTGGGTTGGCCAAAACTTGGATCGCGTATGGGGACCTGTGGAACGCTACGGTGTACCTGTGCAAGAGGACCAGAGAATTTTGGCTTTTCGTGCAGGCCGAGAAATCCCATTTCGTGGCTACATCTGTGGAGGCGCCGCGAGCTTCGGAAAAGCGTTTTCAAAAGCTACGCATGAGGCCGAAACCTCGTGCTCGCAACTTGGGCCATGAGCTATCGGGTAGCAGGGCCAAGCGCACGCTTGAGGAGAAAAGGCGACACATTGCTGCTGGACGCAAGCCGAAGTTGAGGGCTGTGCGTCAAGGTGTCGGTGCCAAGGCGACCCTTCTTTGGACGGCAGGCGTCTATGCGTCAGCTGGTCATGGTGGTAGTGTGTCGGGCATTTCTGACACGGCAATGATCAAGCTTCGTCGGCTGGCAGGGGCCAGGGTGGGGGCAGGATGTCCACGCAAAGGGGGGTCCTTGACGTGCTACTTGGCGACATAGCAGCAGGAGCTCATGGACCCGATGTTCGATGGGACGGCGAATTTGGCTGAGAGGTACGCGGCATGGCAGTGGATGGGAGGCTTCCGGGAGCGGCGCCATGGCGGACTTGGCCTGCAGTGCAGGAGCAGCTGCGGCATAGACCCAGCTGGGCTTTCTGTGCGGGACCGAGCGCGGCCTTGACGTTATCTCTCAGCAGTATTGATTGGGAGTTTGCGAGCCCGACGCATTTCATGACCCGGGAAGGCACGGCCGTTGCTTCGTTGACGACACCGCCCAAGGATTTTCGAGCAATGGCCATCGAAGGCGCGTGGCAGTGGCAGCATGGCCGGATGCTTCATCGCGCCCCTGAAGCCGCGGGTCATAATATCTATGGCACAGGGCGGTGCGCAAATGTATTCGATCGCTCGAAGCCAAGCAACAGGGGCAGCACGCGCCGCGTGGTCGGGTGCCCCTCTAGCTCCGACTATGCGACATCACAGATGTTACCAAGGCAATGCAGACTGCCCATGGCGCGGGGCTATGGAAGCTGGATTGGGGCGCTTGCGGTAGGGGCGGGACAAGTTGGCGCAAGATGAGGATGTGGACCTGTCTGACAAGGCTAAGTTGCCGCGGCGTCGTCTCGGGCAGGCGGCCAGTGGGCGTGGTGTTGGCATGGTGTCCTACGACTACTTCAAGTATCTGACGCTGATACCGTCGACGTCGCAGGTGCTTCCTCCATTGGTCATGCCGCCTGTCTTTCACTGGGGCTTGGGTGGCGACAAGGGCGGCGGCGACCAGATTGAGGCAGGCAGGGGGCCCCCGCCAGATGGCGCACAAGCACAGCGCGCCGCGACTGCCCAGGACTACACAGACATGAGAGAATATCATCGGGGCGGGGATTCAGTTTGGTTCGACGATGCCAACTTCGCCCCCCAGTCAAACGCGAACTGGATGGTGCGTCGCCGACCTTTTTGGAGGCGATGTCCCAAGGAGGCGGGGGCAATAATTCGCAGCGGCTTCTACGCAGGTGGCTCCCATTGGCTGCGCTGCAGCGGGTCGTCGAGATGCCGCGCGAGAGCGCGTGGAGGCAGTCCGCTGAGACAAGGCGATATTTCGTTTTTGGTTTGGCTAGGATGCCGAGACAAGAACGATATGACCGTGAAGTTCGTCATTGGCGCGAGCTGGCCGACTTCCGGGCTGCGCTCCGGAGGGCGCCGGGAGAGGGCGCCGCAACCGCGACCTCGCAGACTGGGCTCAGATGATGGTCGGGCGGCGGATCGGACAGCATCGCGGCTGTAACAGGAGCGATGGCGACGCGGACATCGCCGCCGCAGCCGTTCGGGATAGAGGGCTTAGCGCCGAGGACGCCTGCGCCGCCATCGTGGGCCTCGCAAGGCCGTCCGATGATGGCTACGGGTTTGGGCCACCACGTCTACGCCGTCGGCGCTGCGCGGATAGGCGGCAGTTGGGCTCGACAGTCGAGGCTGGCCGTTCAGGGCGAGATATGGGGGCGCGCCTGGGTCGAACCAGTGGGTCGCCATGCCGAGAGGTGCGCTGCGTGGCAAGCGCTGAAGGTGGCGGCTGTGCCTGCGACAGTGGCGACGGACCACCTCTTGCTCGCTTACGACTCTCAGCGCGACTGGACGGTCATTGCAGGGGCTCGAGCAAGGCATGCAGGCATTTGGAGGAAGATGCTGTAACTGACCAAGGGGGAGAGGTCTCCCGCGTCTCGGCGGCAAGGGCCCCGCTTGACGCGCGACCAGGCGGTGGAGAAGGGATGGGGCCTCATCGACTGGATCGGCAACCAATGGGTGGATTTCTTCGCGGGGCTGGGGCGAGACGACGCAGCCCTGTCCGAGAGTTTCGCCCGGAATTGCATGATGAAGTTCGAGAGCCCGGTTGACGCGACAGAGATGTCTGGGCATCGGGCGCAGAGACACGCCGAGTGGATGCAGAATCCCGAAATGAGTGAGACGACCGACGCGGCGATAACGAAGGTGCCAGCTGCGAACATCGACTCCCGCAACTTCTGGCGCGACCCTGCCCCATGCGCGGCCAGTGGCTGGCGGCGCGGGAAGTGCAATGCCATGGCGCGAACAGGTCATGCAGTGCGGAGCACGCGTGCTAAGGAGAGGTTCAAGTACTGTGAGCCGACCGAGGTGAAGGCTGTTTCTTCCGCGCCCACCCTCAATTCGCACCTGGGGGGGAGCTTGCGGCGAGGCCATCCGAGCCAGGCGCGCTCAGACACATTCGGGGCCTCGGTCATGCGCCGCGCGTGTTCGGGCCAACTACTATTTGCAAGAGGCGCGCCAGGTCATGTGTGGGTGGCGGCGGAGTCTCGCGCTTGAACGCGGCGCGCCCTGGACCGCCCGAGGGCCCCAGAGAGCGCGCCAGCCAGAGTTGCGCCATCAAACAGGCGATGGACAAGAAGCATGCCCAGCGCGCTGTGACGACGGCCTGTCTTGCGTCACCACAAGGCGGTCTCAAGCACGGCCAGACATCGCGCGGTGACCCTGGGGAGGGACGGTCGCAACCTGAGCGTCGAGAGAAGCTTCATGATGGAAATGGGGAGGTGCCTGAAGGTCCCCTGCGGGTCGCCCAAGGTTGGGCCGGCCGCGGGGGGGGCGGAGGGGCGGCGGCCGCCTCCTGCACGTCGAGCTCGCCACAGGCGGGCGGCCCGCCTGCTGTTGCTGACTACGAGCAGCCCGATCATGATCTCCAGCAGCGCGGAGTGGACCGGCAAACGAGGGCAGCGGCAGCTGCTGACCCTCGGGCCAACACCGATTGCACCAGAGGCAGTGGCCCGCTTTTCGGGGCGCCTCAGCGCGGAGAGGTCCAGCAAGTGAGGCAAATGATTCCCGCTGAATCCCGAGCTGCCCCCGCGCGCACCGGAGGCAGTGGCCCGCTTCTCGGGGCGCCTCAAAGCGGCAAGGACATGCAAGTGAAGGCAAGGGCTCCCGATGGGCTTCGCGTTATTCCCATGGGCGCCAGAGGCAGCGGCCCGCTTCTCGGGGGGCGCCTCAGCGCGGTGTGGACCAGCAAGCGATGGGAGCGGCACCTGTTGGTTTTCGAGCTGCTACCATGTGCGCGCGCCAGAGGCAGAGGCTCGCTTCGCGGGGCGCCTCAGCCACGGGGTTCAGGTTCGGGCTCATCTGGCGTCAGTTCGCAAAGTGCTGGCGTGCCACTGCGGCTCCCAGGCTCAGTCGCCACGGGCGTCAGTTCGGAAAGCCCTGGTGCGCCATTGCGGCGGCTGGGCTCAGCGTCGCCACGGATGCCCGACGCGGGCCCTCGTGGTGGGGAGTGTAGTACAACCGGGGGCAGTGGCCCGCACCAAGGGGCGCCTCTTCCGAAGGTCGAGAAGATTTTCGAGGAGAAGGTTCAGCGGCTGCTCAGTGCCGCTGGTGGCGCCCCCCGAAACCGGGCGAAGAGCGCCCCTCGGGATGGGGGCGAAGGAGAAGGGTAGACCATGTATTGTCGGTGTTCGGCATCCCTGAGTGGCGATGGGTTTCGGCAACATGTCTCGTGCACGTCGGCGTCGGCGTCTTCCCCCGCGGGACGAGGGGCTAGACCTCAGTTCCTGAACGGCTTCGGGGACTTCTGAGGCTGTGGGCCGCGCGTTCGCCTCGGCGGCGCGTCAGCCGCGTGTCCGCGGCGCCCATGGGCCGCGCGGGGTTGGTCGCTTGCGGCGGGCTCCGCTCTCGGCCGAGCGGCGTTTCCTCATCCTTCTCTTCCCCTCCGTCCTCTTCGTGGCTTTCATGCCCATGTCGGCCCCCCCGTCCTCCTGCGCCTGTGCCCCGCCTCCCCTGTGCGCCGCCGTCGTGGCTCACAGGGGCCCTTGAGTCACTCGGCGCGCGGGCGACGGGCGAGCCCTGGCCCCCCTAGAAGGAAAGAGCACGTGCTCCTCTACAGCACGGCCCCCCCTAGTTGTACTTCGTGTCTCTCTGGGTTCCACGCAGTTGCTCCCGTGCACTCCACGGTGGTGGCGGAGCCCGTGGTTGCGATCCACGAAAGGAGTCATGCCGACCCCCCATGTCCTCATTCTCGGGTGACATATTCCCCATCTTTGTCCCGTTCGTCTCGCTTCCCACCCTCTTGCACCGACCGCCGCCGTGGATTTTCCAGGCGAGGCTCAGCCCCGCGAGCTTCCAGCGGGCCCTTGGTCACAACCAGGGCGGCAGGAGGGGGGGCGAGAAGACGTTCCTTGGGACGGCGATGACGACGCGCGCTGGTCCTCGCAGCCCTGGGCGGATGCGCAGCGCAATGCGCAGTCCGCCCCATTAAGTTGGGACGCGCGGCTACGCCAGCTCGGTTGAACGGCCTTCTGCGAGGACAGGCTGCGCCTTTCACTCTGATCGCTCCGGCTCATTGGCGCGGGGGGGTGCCGCTGCCAGATCTTCTGATCGCCGGACAGGCAATCTCCTGAACGACCGCGGGCCGCAAAGGTACCGAACGACCTACCTCCCTTGGGATGGGGCAGATCCTGGTACTAGTTTAGATCCTTACATAGGAATTGCAGATGTGGCCCGCGACTACCAGAACCCTGAACACACAATGCTGATCCATCATGTACCGCAACGCCAAGGATGACTTCGAGATCATTCTCAATGTTCACCGGAGACTGGCTGCCCTCGGAGGACAGCGGGCAGGTTGTGGTCAAACATATGAAGAAGGCTTTCGCCGAGTACCAATACCTCAGGATGCCGAGCGCTTTTAGACGAGCTTTTCTAGTCTGACGACACCAAGCGCTCGCAAGACGAATCCCTGGTCGATCATAGCGCTCGCAAGCGGCTGCTCTTCCGAGAACTTGAGACGCGCGTGATCATACCGGAAAAATTGAAAGGGCGCGTCATGCCCAGACAATCCACGCTCAATGAGGCCGCATGGAATACGGTTGAGCAGTGGACTGAAGGACCCTCTGATTTTGACACGGCGCGTGAGAAGCTTCGGAAGCTCGAACGACCACTGCCCCCCAGGTATAGGCGGCCATCGCATTCATGGAACGAGTTCCACATCGCACTTCGTCGGGTACCAAGGCGACACAGACGGATATGAGGACCAGGAATCTGACCGTGATGATGCATTTCCAGTGGATCATCATGGGGAAGTCTCTCCCTACTTTGCCCGAGTCCTACGAGGGACACGAGGTCGTGACTGAGGCTCTCGAGTGCATGGACGACGTCGGCGTACTCTTCGTAGCTGGGGTTATTCCCGAGGGCGTGATTTTGGGTGAAGACGAGGCGGTCGCCATCTACGCCAGTTGCAATCAGGTGCGACAATTTTAGCACATGCGGAAGCTTGGACGAGTCCCCTTTCAACAGTCTCCTCCAAGAGGGACGCCCAATTTTTCCCGCAACGGAAAACGTCGAGGGAGACGAACTGGACATGTCCGACCGAAGTGTTGGACCAAATGCAAACTGGTCATGGGACATTGGGCTCGGGACTGTCCGAAACAGCCAGACGAACGAGGACGCGAGGGGCAGACAGGTTTCGGCACTTTCCAGGCTGTTCCTCTTGAAGCAGATGGCTCTCTGCGTGGCGCTTGTCAACGGGAACCTACGATCCAGTCTGGAGTTATTTCTTATGCCTTTCCCACCTTTGCTACTGCCGACGCTGGCGAACATAGTTTCATCGGACATCAGGTTCAGATGGGTGGTGGATGCTGGAGCTCAGCATGGAGTCAGTGGCAATGATCAGTTATAACATTGATCTATCTTGGATATACCTACGGTTTGAAGCCAACACAGACACCCATTCATGAAGAGGACTGCCTGCGACGTGCCCGTTTTGCTGCCAGTGGAGATGCTCAGGCAGCTCGGCATGGTTGGTGACCTGTCAGGTGGCGTCATCACCTGGAAGGCGCTCGACGGCAGTTCATCGAGGGTGTAAAAGGTAGGGGCAGGCAGACACCTGGCGATTAATATTTTCGATTCCCCGATGACGGTTGGCAGAGAAAGCGGAACATCAGAAAAGTCTCTCCGAATATTCAGGGATATTATAAGGTCGTCGAGCCTGAGGATGCGCGTTCTACGTGGATCCGCAGGCGCCTTCGGCTCAAACCAGTCTTTCTCCGCCCACTGCCGCCTTCCCCGGCGCCTCGCGCGACGCTGAATCGCGCGGGGCGCATCCTCGCCGGGAAGGGGCCGCAGCCAGAACTTCCATGCGCCGGCAGGTCCAGCCAGTCTCTGGTCACCCCAGAGACGCGAACGTGGACATGGCATGAAGTTATTCACTTGGACCACGTGGCCATGAGCGCCGCGCGGAGGCGCGCGTCGGTGCGGCCAAGACCCTGCTCGGGGACGCTCGGGGTTTGGACAGCGAGACTGCGCCATCCACGCCTCGCCCCTGCGACCCGAGGCTTCTCGCTCGAGCCCTGGAGATCCCCAGCGGGGAGCGGTTCGCGGTGGGCAAGAGGCTGGAGCGCGACGGCGCGGGCGCCGCGAAGGCCGATCAGGCCGCGCGCAGGCGCCCCGAGGAGGCCGCGCGCCATCGGGGCAACAACGAGACCCCCTGGTGGACATGCGACGATTGCCAGATGCGCTGGGCGAGGTGCCCCGTCGAGAGCTTCATCGGCACGGGCAGGCCAGTCCACCGGGAGCGGGTGGCGTTCGGGGTGCACGCGGGCTACACCTTCGAGGAGATCTACGAGAAGGACTTCCACTGCGAGCGGCGCGCGAGGGCTCGCGAAGCAGGCGAAAAAGTGGCGCATCACGGGCTCGCACGTCTGGCAACGCACGCAGCGGAACGAGATGCGCGAGGCCACCGTGGACGGGGACGGTTCCGAGACGATCGCGGAGGAGACCGACGTCCCATGGACTCGCGGGCAGAAGATGTCGTCGATGGTCGCAGGGCGCGTGCCCGAGTGCATCGCGAGCCCCGCGACGGGCTTTTCTCTACCCCGGCCGTCTCCGTCGGCCCACCTTCTGCGTGCGATTTGACCAGCGAGCGGATGACAGAGGTTGCCTACTCAGATGGCACAACCGAGTTCATTCAGGACGCTTGGTCTGGCCCCTCTCGCAATCGGCGAGTTGTCAAACGCCGCGTGCCTTCTCAAGGGATGCGCAAGCAACGCTCCGCAAGCTGGGGAAGCCATCCAGGCGGACATGAACGCCGCGATGACAGTCGACCAGTGCGTCTCCGCTCTCGCGGTGGAAGAATCCCC